CCTGTAGTTGGCTTCACCCTCTTGCCCAGTGCAGGAAGCATTTGGGGAGCTAGGATTGTGCAGAAGGAACTTCCGACATGGTATGAATCCCTGGAGAAGCCATCCTGGAAGCCACCTAACTGGGTGTTCCCACCTGTGTGGACAACATTATATTCATCAATGGGGTATGCAACCTTACACTTGTTTTCTTGTTTGTTGACAGGGCTGGTTTTCTTTGTGCGTGCATTTTGGTGTTATTTTTTAAATATTGTACACGAAGACACCTGAATTTGCCTTTTAAAATTCTACTAAACACTCTTCCAGATTTGATAGTTTCATCAGGCATTATTCACATTATTTGCACTAGAACATTGTCTTTTTAAATTTAAACAAAAAGAGAAGAGATTCTCAGTAAAGTGATTTCTGTGTTTTTTCTCCACTCTCACAACCTGCCTGTCTCAAGATTGTATGTAGCCTGACTTTTAAGACTTGCTGTCTGTCGTCAAGTGTCAGTGTCTTGCAGTATCCTTTGTCGGTGTAATTCAGGGAAGGGGAATCTTTGGCCCAGGGAGGTTCCTCATTCTGGCCCACGAGGATATGGGCCAAGTCCCACCTCTTCTCCTCCCATTATTTTGGTGCAGGAAGTTTTACTTCTGCTTCTCCGATGATCTCAACTGGCATCAGATATATAGATTCCTGTGTCGCTGTTGCTTACTTCACCACTTGGGAAGCCCAGTAGTGTGTGTAGCAGAGAGGGAGTTTTACCATCCAAAGAGCAGTGTATCTACACTATAATCTACTTCAGTTTGATGCCATTTGAACATTTTACCTGGAGCTATGTTGGTTTAACTGGTACCAGGCTGCTATACCTGGGTAGCGTATTCAAAGACAGACAGAGAAAAAGAGAGGAGGAGGAGGGGTGTGGAAAGAGGCACCACTGTATTAATCTAGGGCAGGGCTGGGCAACATGAATCTGTTAAATTTGCCAGCAGTGGGCCACTCAGATAATCAATGTGGGAAGGGCATTTACTTTCGTGTCTTAAGGAATGGTCTGTTCTGAAAAAATCCAATTTATTGACAGATTATACGAACAATTTTAGTTCTTTCACTAATATTCTTTCATGGGCAAGCTGATCTGGGTGTGTGTGTGGATCAGTTGCAGGCATTCTTGGATGACACCAGTAGTCCAAATCCATTTCAGTCAGGGTTCAGGCTGCATGGTGAGACTGAATTGGTTCCGTTCACTCTGCAAGATGACCTTTTGTGGAAATCCAAGGAAGGGGATGTAACCTTGTTGGTCCTTCTAGATCTCTCAGCTGCTTCTGATACCATTGACCGTGGTATCCTACTGGAGCGGCTATCAGTTAGAGATTGGGGTCTTGGTTTACGAGTGATTCCAGTCCTTTCTTGATGGCTGTATTCGGAAAGTTCAGATCAGAGAGGTTGTATTGGTCCTTAGACTCTGTGTTATAGGGTCCCTCAGGGCTTCATCATTTCTCCTTAGACAAATTTCTCCTTAGCTATGCAAGAGGTCATCTGGAGATTTGGGGTGTGTTGCCATCAATATGCTAATGACACAGCTCTGTCTCTCATTTATTACATCTGCAGTGGATCTTGTTAGTCTCTTGAAGGGCTGCCTGTCCTTGATAATGGACTGGGTAGTGGTGAACAAGTTGAAATTGAATCCTAGTAAGACAGAGGTTCTGTTAGGGGATTCTCCTGCCCAATTAGGGGTTAGTTTTACCAGTCTGGACAGGGTTACACTCCCCCTAAAAGACAGGGTGTGCAACTTGGGCATCATCCTGTATTCTGTGTCATTTTTGAACATCAGATTTCACCTGTGACCAGGATCACAGTTTTTCATATTAGATGGAATGCCCTGTTGCACCCCTATCTAAACGAGAAATCCCAATTTGTTTTATTGGATTATGTTTATTTACTTTGGATATATTCTAAGTTACTTGGAGTTCGTTGCTGGTGTCAGCTGATAGTTGCCCTTCTGTTAGTTTGTCTGTCTGATCAGTATTTGACATGGAATAGTCATATTTGTATCCCTATCAATAAGAATATGAATGGCAGCACCACAGGTACCAATTCCCTCCTCCCAGAACCAGATGGTCCACTCACTGTTTGCTGCACAGCACTGGGGTCCTTTGTTGTCATCTCACCAATCCAGGAAAGAGCCTGGCCAGCTGTTCCGTGCTTCGCTGGGCAGCCCTTTCCAGCTTGTCAAAGTGCAATTTTTCAACTGAGAAATTGCTTAACAAATGGCTGCAGAGGTGTTCGGCAGCCCCACCCTTCTGCATTGGTGTACTGAACGTAGGGATTTGGAACCCGACCCTTTGCTTGCTTCTTCTACCAAATCAGGACCAGAGACATCCCAGCTAACTTGAAGGATTCTTCCTCTTTGTTCATCCTGCAGCTCTACAAGATGACATGGGAGCCACCTTATGAAAGAGAGTTGAATAACTTTTTGATGTTTACTGTGTATGCATTTTGTGCACTAGGCTCATTATAAATGCACCAAATGCTATACTGCAGCCTTAGTGGAAAAAACACATCTGTGTGTTACAAGCTGAAATGGTAGGTACCTAATAAGTACTGTAGCCTAAATCCAGTGAGCACATTTGATCAGAACATTGAATCAATTGAATTCACGTTAGTGTTGAAGCACCACTCAGCAACTGGTTCAGTGGACTCGCTATATAGTAGTTTGGACTTAGGATATCAGGCCAGTGTTCCTAAAATGTGTCAAAATCCATGGAAGAAATGCACACATTAGCATCTCTCTGTTTCTGCAGTGTTGTGATTTCAAGTTGGGTTTCTGTAGCATAGGTATTGTTTTTTTTTAAATACTTTATTCCCAGTTCATTTTCTGATAATGGCATTGCCCCCTTTCTTTCAGATATGGCTCCTATCTCGTGTGGAAGGAATTGGGAGGCTTCAATGAAAAATCCATGGTCCCCCTTGGACTATATGCAGGACAGCTAGCACTCAATTGGTCATGGGTTCCCATATTTTTTGGAAAACACAAAATAGGATGGGTAAGTTTAGCATTGTGTTCATAGTGTCAGACAATGGCGTTATGCTCTTCCAGATTTCCTATCTTAAGTAAATCTGTTTTAATCAAAAACAAAGGGAGCTATTTTTTAAAATTCCACAATCCATACTAATACCTTTATTAGGCCAGTGTAAATGTAATAGTCTCTGGACCACAAATTAAACAACAAAGTCTTGTGACACTTTAAAGACCACCAATTTTATTTGTCATAATTTTTCATGAATTGAAGGCAGCTCACTGGAATTGGATGAGGTGGGCCATAGTAAATGAAAGCTTTTATGCCAAATAAAATATGTTGGTGCTTTAAAGCTACAACAGGCTAACATGGTTACCTCTTTGCACAGCATTGAAAAGGTTGCAAAAGGTGGAGGGGGCTAAACATAGGAGACATATAATCTGCATGGTGTCTTGACAGGTAATGGAGGAAGGCTTGACAAATGTATAAATGGGAGATTATTAGGTGATGTATGAATGCCTTGAATATAGGAGAGATCTGTGCTCTTGAAAGCTCTTTGTGCCCTTGTTTTTTGGTCTCCTAATAGTATAATCATAGTACAGACTATGAAGTTTATTTTATGGCTAGCACTGCTTTGCATTATTTTATGGCCAGAACCTCAGCATTCCAGAATTCCTTATCTGTCAGAGAATTCCTGCATATCCACTCCAGAACAGAACACCTTGGGGCTGTTGCAGCTTCTGAGAATGTTCTAATAATCTGGTGGTAAGATGTTTGGTTCTGCTATCTTGCATACATACTGATGATGAATTTAAGAGAAGGATCATCAAACCTACTTATTCCTGTTTCATCCCAAACCTGCCTTTTAAGTGAACAAGCCTTTGAACTTGTCAGTTTTGGCCTTCTGGTTCATCATTCAGTATGGATTTGAGGGTGGATGAGATCTAAAGCTCATCTGAACAAGCTTGTGCGTTCAGGTTGAGACCCTTGACCACGTGGGAATGCTTTGCAGCTGAGACTGCAATTGAGCAGGTGCTGGAATGTTACACTGAAATCCAAACGGCTGCATAGTATTGCGTAATGGCACACTCTGCGTAGATTAGGGCAAGTCCACCCAGCCTCCAAATACATACACAGTTGTTGTCAAGTAGCCAGCATGGTGTAGTGGACAGAGTAATAGACTAGGACTCGGGAGACCTGGGACTGATTCCCTGGCTTTGCTATGGAAACTCACTCAAAACCACTCCTTAAATACCTGGAAAACCTAGTTAGGATCGCTATGTCAATTCTGACTTGACAGAATATAACAAGTTGTCAAGAAAAGGCTGCTTGACTTGGCACAAGTAACTGAATTTCTGGCTGCTGCTGTGAGTTGTTCTGTACACAAGATGTTTTTCTGACTCACCGCCTGGTTGGGAGAGGACGAGTTATCAAGTCTCATAGCTGAGCCCTTGTCAAGCAGGACCAGCTCTGCCCACTGTATCTTCACCCCATGAATATTTGTTATATTGCTCAACTGGAACAAACACCTACCTGCCCTGAGCCTCACAACAATCAGTATTAAATATATCGATCTGTTAAAACTCCATCCCACTTTCCCAACAACTGATGCAGTAGATCCCTACTGATTTCTCTAATGCTTGCAGAAGCTTACGGCTTGGGTTGTAAAGCACATCTAAAATTCCTAGAATCCTGCTCATCTATAAGTATAAATATGTGTATTTTTGCTCCGCAAAAACAATTGTTATTTGCTGTGCTTTAAATGTCAGTGTGTTGGATTCACGCAGTAAAGTTGGCCTCCAGGTTAGTTTAGGCCTGAAGACAAGTTTCAGACCAAATGTTCTGCGTTCACCCAGCACAATGACTCTGGTGTAAGATTTAAAGCAAAGTAGGGTGTTTGATGTAGCTGATTTTTGTAGCTCTCAGTGCTCATCAACCTCATTGTTTTATTTCAGGGGCTGGTCACTTTATTACTTACCACAGGAACAGCAACAGCAACAACAACAGTCTGGTATCATGTCAACAAAACTGCAGCATATTTGTTGTACCCTTACGTAGCCTGGCTAACCTTTGCCTCCCTGCTCAACTACCATATTTGGAAAGCCAATCGTCCTAAGAAGCACTAGTAACATGTACATATTTTTACAAAGCATTTTTTTAAAAAGGGGGAATATTTTCTATTTCAAATTACAGTTCCACCATCCTATTGCTTAATATATTTTACTAAGACATTTGTAAAAACAAAATGTTCAAATTAATGTACAAGTTTACTAGATGAAGGTATAGTAATAAAATTCAGCTGAAAATGGAGGAATTCTGTGGTTCTGAGCAATGTGTACATTTACTGCAATCTACACAACAGGGTTTACCTTAAGGCAGGTTCAAACATACACTGTAAGACTAGTTACTTGTTGGCTTATCACAAAGCCATTTGTATCTGGAATTACAAACTGACTCCCATTTTAAAACACAGTGGGAGAGGCAGGAGGAATCTTTGTCTCTTGGCTTCATGTAGCTTTTTGATGATGAGCATCAATCTGTGAAGTAGCCTAAGAACGTAAGGCTACAGAAAACACCTTCAAACGTGACAGCAAATCAAGATATTTCCTTAAACTACCTGAAAGACGAGGATATATTGTGCATTTAGCTCTTCTGTATGGTATCTGCCTATTGAGGGTGCCCTTGGGATTAGGCACCAGCTGGCTAGGAATGTCAGAATTTGTTGATGCTGTTTTGAATGAATCTTCCTAATCAAAGACAGTGGAAGGGCAGCAATCAAGCTGAGCAGGTAAGTTCCAGAGAGAGATCTAATTGCACCTTAGCAAGCAAAGAGAGCCTATTATAGATCTTACCCAGGATTTTAAAAACCAAGAATGACAAATGCATCATGACCTCTAATACTGTCTTACTAGCATGCATGGTGAATGTGCCATTGGGATACAGTATTATTTAGAGACGGGGTGGGGGAGAGCTTGAAATATAGGAATATGTCCACTGCAAACAGGAATCTGCCCTATGTAAACAAGCTCTTTTGCTTTCTCCTGGGTTATATATGGTATCTAGCATATTCTTCTTGGAAGCATGTCCAGTAGAAGGCATGGCTAGTCTAACAGAATAGCCTCTTAACAGTTAGGGAGTCCCTTCTGCATCAACCAATCACATATTGGAACAAAACTGATAATGCAGGAATTTTACAATGTGAGTTATGGTAAACGTTTGAGCTTAAGCAGGATCACTGTCAATCAGTATCACCAGGGAAATCCTACAGTTAAGAATGGCATACTGCTGCATGGGTATCCTATTTGTGACTCTTTAAGTGCACACAAGCATCCTTATACTGTATGTCAAATATTTTTAAACAGAAACAAGACTAGTCAAATCAAGTCATTCCATGTTCAGGATTCTGGTGAAATGATCTGCTTTCATGACCAAGGGTTAAACAACACTGGAGATACCGATATTTAAAGGCTAGCAACTTTAAAGCCACAACAATAAGCAGTTTTCATAACTTATTTGCCTATGTCTGTAGTCTCTGAAAGTGATAGTGAAGTTTTCTTTCTCCAACAATGACAAAATCCTGTCTTGTAAATTACACCTGAATAAAGATGATGTCACTCACAGAGGAAGATTAATAGTAATTAAAGAGGCATAATTTACAGAACTGGAAGGACAGATCCTGAAGCTGAGGCTCCAATACTTTGGCCATCTGCTGAGAAGAGAAGACTCCCTGGAAAAGACCCTCATGTTGGGAAAGTGTGAAGGCAAGAGGAGAAGGGGACGACAGAGGACGAGATGGTTGGGCAGTGTCATCGAAGCTACCAACATGAATTTGACCAAACTCCGGAAGGCAGTGGAAGACAGGAGGGCCTGGCGTGCTCTGGTCCATGGGGTCACAAAGAGTCGGACATGACTTAACGACTAAACAACAATTTACAGAACAGGATTCTGGCCACTATTCTAGAAATACATTTGTGTTGCACTGTTTGTTACTTACTTTCAACCTATAGTCCCAGTACATTTCTTGGACCTCAAAGACAGAAATACTGCCCCCCCTCACTTCACAAGCAAGAAAAGCTGAAAGTCCCTGCATTAATTTTCCTTGTACCCAATAGCACAGGTGATAACTTAGATGCAGTATCCTATGACAAGCACAGTTACCATCCTGTTTGAACAACTCTTGATGGGTTGTGTCTATGCTATATTTCTCTACTGCTGTAGACATGGCAAATATAGTATTTATAAAAAATTCTGTTGCCTATGAATCTTTTGAAATCAAATATTAGTCCAGTGCCAGCTGACCTCTCAGCAGATATACCAGTGATTATATGTGATCTCCTAGCTTCACGTGATGTCTGACATTATCAATAGATGTTCAATGAGTTTTCCAAATTAGAACGACTGGCTCACATTCTTGCCATCTTTTAATTTTACAAATGTTTTCAAATCTGCTCTGGCTGTATGTTGTATCTGATCCCTCCCACATCTATTCAGAACTCTTTGTTACCAAAATTGTTTATCTGTCATTGCTCCGAAAAATCTCAGCACTGCTCCCTGTCTCCTCTGTCCAGGATAAACTTCTTGTCCTTTTCTTCAGAACTCTTTCAGGCCAAGTCCTCCTCATCTCTGTCTTTGTATTTTCACCCTCCAACTTTGGCCACTCAATGATCTCCTACAAATGAACACACCCTTTCTTCATTTATGCCCACAATTCCCTCACAAAATACAATATCCTCATTGTTTTTCCCAGCCTGCTACTTTATGACATTTTGGGACAGTAAGTCTGCACACCCTACTAAATTAATCCCAAATGTGTTTCAACAATTTGAACACATTATTCCAATTTATTCTGGGAATAAGAACAAGAACAAGCTCACAGAGAAAGCCATATGTTTGCTGTTATGTAGAACTTGTGTGCTCTGCCTGGTAAATTGAAGTGATCTGCACAAGCATCAACAGTGACTGATACACTAATGCTTTCAGTATAATTCTTCAGCATTAAGAAACCGTTGCTACACTTCTGATCTCAAATGCAGAAACTCTACACAGAATCAACAGGAGCTCAACAGTGCAGAACAAAATACCCGTTAAGATTCAACACTGAAGGAATCTGGATAGGTGGGTCACTTCAGCTTTTACATTTAGTTCCATACTGGAAAGCAAACCAGTAAAGAAACAGGCCAACTGTTTCAGCAGTTGGCCTTTTTTGGCTCTTGCACAAGGAAGTATCTAGTAAATAAATAAGGCCAAGTATAACGGAAAGCCAGGTACAGTGTCCTACAAGTCCAGAGGTCAGAGGGTAGAAGTACTGAATGAGAGGTAGAAGCAGTGCTACTGTTGCATTTCTTCTGTCCCGAGGTGGATTCTTTACATTCAAAACATATACAACTTTTCAGCATGGTGGTCAAGACTACTTACTGAGTAAAACCTGAAATATCAAACCAGTACATATTTCTTGCCAGTTTTTTTTAAAATTAAGGATGCACATATTATGCTCATATTTATTTAAAAGATAGGCAATCTGTCTACAAACATTGCCAGGTAAGGGCACCAGGAAAAGAGATGACTGAACTACAGTTCAATTTACTAATGCATGTCTTTCACACAAACAGAACTGAAAGGAAGCAAGGATTATGTTGCTTTTCATCATTTTCTTCCTGGAGATCAGAATTAGAGGACTGTCTATGACATTCAAAGGCAATTTCTGGTACTTTTGCTGTGACATTCTTTATTAAAATTAAAACTGAAATCTGAGCGGCACATGAGCCAGCTCACAGCTTTAAAAATCAAATGCCTTGTCTTACAGATATGAAACAAATTAAAAGGTGGGGACACAATGGTGTTAGGAAAAACAATGTTTTTCTCAATTGCCTTAAACACATTATTATAAATTCAAAGCAGGTTGAGAAAAGCTGTACAGATATTTCTTGTAAGTAAACTAACAGCTGCTAAGATAGAAAAAAGAAACTGATTTGCTACTGAATTGTTGCAATCTTGTATATAATAAAAATACAATTTGTGATAGCAAGTAGATTATAAAATGAATGAGCAGACAAAAATGGGGGAAGTGGACATTGCATACAACTCCATTATATAGACATTTCACTTTGACAGAATTGATAACTTTTTTTTTTAATTATAGGAAAAATTGTTGCATAAGCAGCTCATAGAACTGAAATATAAATAGATCACCATGATATACACATTAGCCAATCAAGGCATGGAGCTAGACAATGGCAGTCACATGGCAACCATCGGTTTCATCCAGAAAGAGGGTGCTGAAGACATCATTGAAGAAGGTTGGATGGTATTTGCAGGCTCTCTCACAATCAGGGTTGAAATTAACCTCTAGGATCTGAGGCTGCATGTACTGTTTCCCTGTAAGACAAATTTCATTAGACAAAATCCTGTTTTTTTGGCTCTGCCATATGGAAGTATCCAGGACATATTTCTGTAAGCATAAGCCTCCTGTGCCAGAACTGGGATATCTTTGGATGGCACAACAGCCATCACTCTGCAGCAAAATATTGGCCTTTTTTGGGGGGTGGGAGTGGGGAGGGAGACTGCCAATACAAAGAGGCTTGTGTGTGAACCCATTCCCATTATGATTCTGCTGGTTGTCCCTAAAGAGGCTTGCCTATCTCTGGGCCCCATGCATGCACCATGTATGTATCCATGCAGACTGCAAGGCAGAATTGTGACTCCTTTCCTTCTCAGCTATAAGGCTGATAAAGAGGAGAAGCCATGCCCAAAAGGAGTGTAATTCTACCACATGTTACAGATGGAGATATTGCCATCTTGCAGTGAAATCTGAACCACAAACATTCCTGCTGAGTCTCTGGGCCAGTAAACTACACTACTCTTCAGAGGAAATCCAACTGTGGCTAAGGTGGCCAGGATGATGGTGCTGCTAGAATGACCCCGAAAGGAGTTGCCAGGCAGAGGGAGCATGTGCTCCCACAACCCATGTCCATCCTCTTTCCTACAAGTATAAGACAAGTGTCCTTTGATGGTTGTGAAAGAACTATTCCTATGTACATAAACGGGTGCAAGTGTTCTTGCACACATCCCTTTACACACAATACACAGGGAGTTAAAGGAACACTATTCTGGATGGATAAATACTTGGAGATCCTTTCTTTTGTGTGTGTGTGTGTGTGTGTGTGTGTGTAAGGGGAACAAGAAGAAATAGTTACCATCACTTGATGTATCCCACTTAAGCATCAGGTCAATGGCATAGACGGCTCTTGAGGATGGATAGTCACAGATGCCAAAAGGTGCAGGTTTTGCACAAGCAGCTTGAAATAATTCCACGAATGCCTTATGTGTGTCATCCTAATAAAGTCATATTTGCAATGAAGTCAGATTAATATTCAATTAATATTGCAATTGATTTGAAATACATTTGAATAATAGGATCTGATTACTCTTCAGAGCTTGAGCTTGTATGTAAAATGTTAGAAGTAACAAAGTTATGCATGATACGTTGCTGCCTTTTTAAGCCAATATTACTTTATAAAAGTAATGCAATAACCGGTGATACTGTTGCAAGTGGAGTGGATGGAACATGCAATATTTACGCGTTCCTAAAACATTGCTCTTAAAGAGGTCATTGGAGGGACCTCTGCCCACTTTTGTGCCTTTAGGTATTTTAAAATCACTACCACCACAAGAAAAAAGGTAACTAAAAAGTAACTTGCTAAATATAAGTAAGATAACAAGTTACTCAAGGACTGAGTTACACCAACCAGCTAAAAAGCAAAGATCTCCCAAGATCATTTTTGCCTTCCCATCTATTGATTTTTAACTGCAGGTGGTAGAGACTGTACTCCAGGCAGTTTGTCTATAAAATGCATGTGCTCGTAGCACTGAGCTATGATTTTTTTTCTCAGCACACCAAGCTATTAAAGAGAACATGCAGCTAAACTGAAAGGCAGCAGTATATTACTTCTTCATCTAACATGCTTGGCAAATTTGTCCTGAATAGGGGATGTCAGATGAGAACAGTCCCTCACAAATGTAGCAAAGGCAGAAGAATATCTTGATGTCTGCAACTGGCATAACTGCATGAACAAAACAGGATTCCCTTTCTATGGAGTGATTCTGTTCTGAAATCCTTTTCCTCAGCACTGAAAGTAGCACTGAAGTAGGTCCACTGAATTAGTGGTGACTAGGGTGAGTCAATTCCTTCATAAGTCCCACTGATTCAAATAGGCTTACTTTAGTTGCAATTATGTTAAAGTAACGCAACTAGAATAGACTCATTTAAACCACTGGAACTTACAAAGGAGGTACAGTAACTCACCAAATCTGCCCTGATTCAATGGACCTACTCTACTGTGATTTACTAAATGAAGCAAGTCTTCTAGCCAGAGTTTGGAAAGTGGTGACAATAAATCTTGAAAACAAATACTCAGAAAAACTTTATTACAAAAGATGAAACACTTGATTACCAAATCAGCAATAACTTACTTGAACATGCTGCCAAGGGTACTCAGGATACTGCTTCTCAAAGAGAGGAATGAATTCATCATAGTGAATCTGGGAAAAAGACACTCTCCAATCAGCTTTAGTAAAGTTGACATCCATGGCTGCTTCCGTGATGCCTCACATGTCCCCAACCTGCAGCTGCTGAATCTGCCCCACTGCCATCGCCTCTCCTTTGCTGGAGCAGGGACTAGGTGTTTGCCTATTTTTCCTTCATTGTCTATAATTCCACTGAAACTGGCACTCCCACAAAAGCTACAGCCTCACCTTCCAGCCCTTGCATCATTCATTAACACCACCCCTGGGCAAAAAAGGGGGGGAGTTTTAAAGAGCTTTTCTGAATATTTTGTCCCTGTATCACCTTGCGCATCAATCAGGAACCCTCCTTGAGGCCAACGCTGGTTGAGCTGACATTGCACGTTCAGGGACACATTTATTCATGTTAAGATAGCTTTCAGTGGATCTTTATTACACTGACACCCTCCAGCATAGTTGGAAGGCAAAGGTTGAAGAGAGAGATTTTTTCATTTGGAACATCAACTCCCTCAGCTCACTCTTCAGCCTTAAACCCATGCCACAAGCTACACTGGTGAAGGAGTGAAGGCCCACATCCAGTTTAACCTATACCATCCTATATTATTCCATCATTCCCAGTGAAGGCTAGGTTCTTTTCCTATTATCATTAACTCACCTGTTTTAAAGATACCCCAGGATCATAGTTCATGACAGTAAAATGTTTCTCATAATCATCCAAGTCATCAAGCGAGAATGGTCTTTAAAAAAATTGGAATGAACATGTTAATTCCTCATGAAATACCAAAATATAAAATAAAAAAGTAACAAGTAAAAATCTCAAGAATTGTTTATTACCTATTTGAGAACCGCAGCCAAAATACATCATAAACATACAGCTTGAGTGGCTTAACTGACCGCAGGAGTACAATGTAACGAATGTCAAACTTAACCAGACCCACACCTTCCAGATGAAACAAGACTGGATTCTCAATATACTTAGACACCACCTGAAACAGAAGGGGTGGGGTGGGGGGAAGGATAAATAAACAAACTCCGCAGACTATACATAGCATTTGTACCCAATGTTTGAGGGCAACATGTCCCCTCACCAAAGCAGCTTCCTGTCACAACTAGACAAACACCAACAATGACAGCAAGAACAACTGTAAAAGCAATTGCTAAAAGCAATCTGCACCAGCCAAAAACATGGTGGCAAAAGCACTGTTTTCCTCATCCCTCTTATCACCTTGCTAATCCATTTCCTGTGCCTACCCTGTACTGGATATATAATCTGTGGTCTTGCTTCACTCCAAGGTGTTTGAAGAAGCAGATACAGTGGTGCCTCGCTTAGCGATGTTATTCGTTCCAAAAAAATCGCTGCTAAGTGATTTCATCGCTAAGCGAAACGCGGCTTCCCATTGAAATGCATTGAAAACCGGATAATCCGTTCCAATAGGAATGAATTGCCGTCCTTAAGCGAAAATCGCCATAGGAAACATCACTAAGCGAAACGCGGTTCCCCAATTGAAATGCATTGAAACCTATTCAATGCATCTCAATGGGGGAAAAAATACAACAAAAAATTAAAAAAGAGTCAGAACAAAGTCAAATTTGGTTAAGAAAGGGTTTATTAAGTGCACTTTATGATTTCAAACATTGTAAACAGTAAACTTTAACTTTATAAATAACAGAAAAACATTTAAAAAACAGCAAACATGAGGCTGTTTAAACCATCGTTAAGCAAAACAGGGGACCCAAAATTTAAGCACTATGCGAAGCATGGTCCCAACCATCGCTAAGCGAAAATCGCCCATGGGCACCATCGCTAAACGAAGCGCAAAAACGCTCTGAAAAAGTTGTTGCTAAGTGATTTCATCGCTAAACAGAGCGGCCATTAAGCGAGGCACCACTGTATCTCCCTCAAAGCTCACACTAAAAGGAAATAGCTAGTCTTTAAGGTGCCACAATGTTCCTATGGCTTGTTTCCATTTATTTTTGTCTGGGGATCCTCCTACCGAAGAGGACTGTGACCTTCTTTCAAATGTACACTAACCCTTCCTCAGGCACTGATCCGTATGAACTTTAGAAGATCATGCTTTCCTTAAAAATGCTTGATTAAAGCTATTTTAAGAATTCAATCCATTTTCATCTTAATTTTTACCAATGTAATCAATGCGTAGTAACTGCTTTGATATATGAAGCTAACCATTTAAAAACATACAGAAGAAATTACAAACCACAATGCCAAAAACTACCAGATTTGAAAAAAAAAAATAGTAACAAAGAGGACAGACTTATGAATCGATAAATCATGATGAACAGGATTTGTTTTAATATGTCAGCTTTAACACATGCTTCAGTGTTGCTTTTTAAAACCTTGTTTTTAAAACCTTCTGCTCCTCCGAGACTGAAAGATCATGTGCAGATCAATATACATTCTCCTATACCTAGGAGAATGCTCTGAAGAACACACTTCACACTTACTTCTGCAACAACAAAGGGCCCTTTAGCTTCTTAAAGATTGACAAGTTTTATTTGGTAAATGTTCTCAGGGACAGTAGCATACTTCTTCAGATATACTGTACTGAGATGCACTCAATGTTCCCTCTGAGGTGCGCGCACATGCGCCAAGCTCCATCAGGGCTGCTCATGGGCAGCTGTCAGCCAGTTTACTTCTCATTTCAGATGAAGCCCCGCCCCACTGTGCATGCACGGGGCAAAGGCTCCTGCGCAATGAGAACAAAAATTAGAGGGAACCTTGGATGCACTTGTTCATATAACTGTCCATGAAGGCAGTGGTTGTCCATAAAAGCTTATATAAAATGAAACTATGTAGTTTTTAGGGTGACTTGGGACTATATTAGACTTGCTGGAATAAAAAAATAGGCACAGAATATGAACAACTTAAAAATATACAGCTGCTTTGCTAGAATATCAAGAATCTGTACTTCTCCCTCCCAATTTATTTTGATCATAGGGAGGGAGAGTTGTTGTTTTATGATTCTGAAATATAACCAATACATCATCAGAAAGAATGTGGTGCAAGGGGGAAAATTACCAATCTTCCTGATCAAACAGGATCAGAAAGAGTTGGAAACTCTGAAAAGCGAAATAACCATACAAGACAAAAGAGCAATAAATTTCTTGCCGCAGGATATGCTATTTCAGAGCAAATCATTGAGATGTTACAGCAGCCAAAAACAGCTGTGCCAAAGCTTTATTACCCCCATGTATGCCCAGAAACATGACCTTGCAAGGTGATATTAGATGAAAACTCTTCAAACACTGGAACACAATGGGCAGATTTTGATCTTGCTCCAGTAAAAATGAGTTCATGCAACAGGAAAGTCATTTAACAATTTTTTTAAAAGGACCCAAAAGAAAAAGAAAAAAAAGGGGGGGGGGGGGAAGGTAACCAGAGGTTGAACTACTTTCTTCCAGAAAACAAAAGACCACATTTGCAAGAGGGGAATTTGTTCTGACCTTTGGGATGCTCTCTCTCTGCCTGATGATATTGTTAAGGCTCTTTGTGATGTGTGTGTCCAAGCTTCTGGCCAGATTCCAGGGTTTACATATCCAGTGGTTGTCTTCTCCTCTACATAAGGAACAAAATAAATCTGTGTGCCTTTAGTGTTTCGGTGTGAGCCTTTTCCCCCAGGCAAGGATGCTCCATACCAGACAGCTTAACATATTTCGCACCAACAAAATTTCTTGCTATATTTTATCCCAATTTTTCTTCCTTGTTTAAAAGAGGCAAGGTACCCTACACAAAGTGTTTCAATGCTTTGCATAAAATTTAGTCAACAGAGATTACTGCCTGGGGACATAGAAACAAGAGGTTAATTAAGGCCTGCAGTTGGCTGAAAACATATGGTTAGTTTGCTGTGTGGGTCACTAATTATCCAGGCCTCCCTACCCAGGACTGCAGTGAACCTATCAGCCAATTTAAATAAATTAGAGATCATTCACCCTAACTGAATTTCATTATACTTATGTACAGATATTTACATTTCAAGGTGCTCTTTTGAGATGATAAAAAAACTGAACATAGAAAAACTAAAGCTATCAGTCTGTTAAAAGAAAAATATCACCTTTCTACAACCAACAATGTAGAATAAAATTAGAAGTAAAACCAATCTCTAGTTGTTCTGTGCCATCAAGTTGCTTCTGACGTATGGCAACCCTATGAATAAGAGACTTTCAAAATGTCCTGTCCTCAACAGCCTTGCTCAGCTCCTGTAAAATCTCAAGCCCATGGCTTCCTTTAGGGTGTCAACCTATCTTATGTTTGGTCTTCCTCTTTTCGTGCTGCCTTTCACCTTTCCCAGGATTACTGTCTTTTCCAGAGAATCTTGCCTTCTAATGATGTGCCCAAAGCAGGACAGCCTCAATTTCAACATTTTTGCCTTCAGAGATAGTTCAGGCTTGATTTGCTCTAGGACCCACTTGTTTCTTTTTCTTTGGCACTCCAGAATATCCGCAAATCTCTCCGCCAGTACCAATTTTCAAATGAATCATTTTTTCCCTGTCAGTTTTCTTTACTGTCCTGCTTTCACTCTCATACATGATGATCAGGAATACAAGAGTGTGGATCGTCTTGGTCTTGGTCTCCAATGACTCAGCCTTACACTTAATGTTCTTTTCTAATTCCTTCATTGCTGCTCTTCTGAGTCGATCTATCTTGTGTTTTCCTGCTGCCGTCCACCCTTCCCAGCATCGTTGTCTTTTCCAGAGAATCCTGCCTTCTCATGATGTGCTCAAAGTAGGACAGCCTCAGCTTCATAAAGATACATATATTCATCTCTAATAAAGATTCACATATCCTCCATCCTCATCACAATCCATTCAGTTGTTCTCATTAATTAAATCACACGTGCTTCAATTAAAAATTAAGGTATAAAGTCTTTGAAACTCTGATTAAAAACATGCAGACTGACTTTATCAGGCTAAGGAGAGTACTAAGGAGATCTCAGATATCAAAACTCACTTCCTTCAACTACAGCATCCCCTGAAAGTCAATGTAAGCTTTCTATTTGTTTTCACATCAAGCATGAATTCCTTGTTCTCTTCTTTAGAATTCTAAATGGCTTCCCTTCCCATGTTCTTCTTTTCTTTCATACCCAAAGGGACGCCTGCATGTGATCACCCGTCCTATCACAGCGACCCCCTTCCACAGCCCCCAGGATCTCCTGATTCCTCCCTTAAAGTATTTTTATAGATCTACTTTCCTGTGACATACGTTTAACTGTAAGCTCCTAGAAGCAGAAACCTGGCTTTCTTTTCTTTATACTTCTTTGCAAATCATGCTGATAGTTGTTGTAGTTCTGTGCTGTCAAGCCAGAAATGACTTATAGAAAGGGCTTTCAAGGTAAGCAACACATTCAAGAAGTGGTTTTATCAATTCCACTCCCCCAAAGAGCTTCCTTGGCCAGGTAAGGATTCAAACCCAGGTCTCCTGCATTCTAGCCCATCACTCTATCTACTATGCTAAACCTGATAGTACTACACCGTAATACATTGGATATTATTGTTTCCAAGCTGCAAGCGAAATACGTGTTACTCTTCACTAATGTAATAAAAAGGCACTCTCTTAAGTGCAAAAAACAAAAACAAAAACCACACGTGCAGACCATGTGCCCATGACAATGGAGTAGCAAGGTGCAAATACCAGGAGACTGGAAGCAAATCTCTTCCAGCAGTTCGAATGCCTTGATCCAATAACAGTTCTTATGAAACAACTGAACTGATATTCAAGGAATGCTTAGCTAAAGTTCTGCAACAGAAGCAAGAATGGTACTTTACACTGCCTTCTTATTAACAGTTCAAATACTTCATTTTGGGAGCTGTTACGGATATCTGACAGGTGACAACTGCAAAGGACAAAGACACCAGCTTAACTGGATGAATTTAAATTGGCCACAGTAAAGCTGGTGCAATGTCTGGTATATGAAACTGAACTTGAGCGGAATGCAAGTGGCTATTTCTATGCAAGAAATCCACTCACCTCCTCTCACGCTGCTGAAAGAAACTGATGAACTGTGGCAGTTCAGTATGAAGGTTAAAAGTACGAGGCAGCCATTTTGGGCCTTCTGACCCTCCAACTCGCCTCGAGATGGAGGCTAGACAATCCTTCACGGTCAAGAGATTTTCACATGGAAACTGGTTCAGCATCACATGAGGCCTTTCTTCACTTAGTTTCCTAAAAAAGAAGAAAGACATTTAAAATAAGGTTCCATGGCCGAATATACGCATATTGGACAGGTAAGATAAATTGTTACTTGCAGTGAAAGAGCTGTGTAACCTGTAATCTTTGAAGTGAGAAAAGTTGTAGAGAATATCTGCTTCTTGTTCAGAGTCCGTAAATACAAACCGGGGATGATTCAGATTCTGAAGTACCTGTTGGAGATCTGTGTAAACTCTGGCAGAAAAGGATTGGAAAAGAGAAAAAGAAATCATGAAAGGGTTTCTTAGAAGAATAATACACAAATTCTTATTTAATAAGTACAACTGCACAATGTGCTTCTGTAAGTTAGTCTACTGTTTTCCCACTTGTACAAGTATTGACATATTCAACACCATTACAGATGTGTGTCTTTAAGATTACTAAATGTACCATTATCTTCTATGGGGGCACAAAATGATGAAAAACTGCATTTATCAAGGCTAATAAAATATTACAAGATAGCAAATAAACTTTTGAGTCCTATCTCTCTCTTCCTCAGACTAAATGTTGGGTAACAATACCAACTTCGCCAATCTTTAGAATCTTCATGGTGAGTTTTTCTCCCAGTTTCTCTGGAATGGCCTGTTCTCTGATGGTGCCAGATTTCAGGACAGGGTGTAGATATTACTTCATCCCCAGGCTAAAATTTGTTTCTTTTCCAAATCATTTTAAAGTACAAAGTAATTTTGACCTTACAGCTCTGTATTAGAGATGGGCACAAGGCTCCATCTAAGCTGGGCGCATGCGCAGCTCTCTTCCTCCTCCACGCGGCACTCACGTCAGGTTACGGTCACAATGGAACCCTGTATGGTGTGTGTGTGTGTGTTTGTGTGTGTGTATCCACGAGAGAGAGGCAGAGCCCCACCCAGCGGGGCTGAAAATTAGAGAGTACAGTGGTGCCTCGCATTACGATGTTAATTCGTTCCAGTGAAATTGCTGTAGAACGAAAATATCGTAATGCGAAATAAAAAAGCCCATAGAAACGCATTAAAGCCCGATTAATGCGTTCCTATGGGCTTGAAACTCCCCATCCAGTGAAGATCCTCCATAGCGCAGCCATTTTCGCTGCCCATGCAGCGAGGAATCCGTCCCAGAAAAGAGCGGGGAGCCATTTTTTTTTATCCTGGCGGCCATTTTGAAACCGCCGATGAGCTGGCCGAACATATTTGTTTTGCGAGAATCAGTTCCCGAAACAGGGAATCCATCATTGCAAAGCGAAATTCTCCCATTGAAACCATCGTAAAGCAATCGCTTTTGCGATCGCTAAAAGTTGGTCGTAATGCGATTTCGTCGTTAAATGGGGCGCTCGTCTTGCGAGGCACCACTGTATGTTGGATGTGCATGAACCATTGCTTGGCAGCTCAGTCAAGTGCCTGCACAGGTGTTTTGTGGGCACTGCATGCTTTCCACTGCACCATCAGCCGCTCACCAGTAGCAGCATGCTTCCCTCTTCTGCCTTTTCTGTGCAATCACTCACTAGGATGAGGAGGTGAGGCAGGGAAGCCTGTGGCACTGCCAGTGATTGGATGATCACATGGAGGCAGGGCAGGGGAGGAAAGCGTGTGGTGCCCGCAGAACACCTGTGCAGGCACTGCATTAAGCCTCAGTTCATGCTCATCTCTACTCTGTATTATCACACCAGTTTTATCATACTGTTTTTTGTTTGCTCTTCCCTTATTTTATGCCTGAGGCACAAGTAGGTTCTTATAGGCTTTTCCTATTGCTGCCAGGGTATTACAGGATGAAAGGCAGGTTAAAAATTCCATAAATAATTCTGCAATTTCTACCAGGATGATAACATTTACAAGAAAAATACCTCTAATTTTTGTTCATTTGTTAAAATTAGACTTTACTTTTTCAAATCATTCCTTATCCATACAACTGGGTCCCCTTCAAGGTAAAAGCAACCACTCTAAGTGGAAGAAAAAAAATCTTTATGAGCAAATTAATATAGGATTATTTTGCTTGGAACATTACATTACTGAGACAAAGCAAGTCGTCTAGGATTTCCACTTGGTCTTGCCTACAATCATGACACAAACTCACACTGTTGGTGTATTTATAAGCGTACTGGGACAGGCATGTGCTTACAGCTCTTTTGAGGAAACTAAAGAACATGTATGTGTTTTTTTTTTCAAAGAAAACACACAAGGACACTATTTCTCAAAATGTACAGGAATAAAACATCTCTGAGTTGTGTGTATAGCAGAGAAAGAGGATTTGAGTCAGATGTAAGCTTGTTTTCAATGTATACCAATGAACAGCTGTCTCACATAGGACAGCAGAGACACGAAAATGATCTTCTCTGCATATGCTACCACAGCTGCTTACTGGGACAGTAGCCACAAAGTCCAGCACATTTCTTGTCGGCATCATTCACGCCCCCATTTGTGGACCAGAAACAATGCACACTGACTCATTTTTTAAAGGAATCGGCCCCTTCCTTCACAAGCAACTCACACCCCAACGCTGCAGGCGAGGGAACATTTTCTTTTCTTTACAATGACTCATCTCCACTCCACTTTCCACAGACAGCTTTCACTACAGGAACTAAAATGGTTCCCCTGCTAATTCTCCCAACCAGTACTTATTTAGAGCATTTTTATGCCACCCATTAAAAATATGCTCTTAAAGCAGCATACACACTAAAACCTCCCTGTTCCCCTGAAACTGTAAAAGACAGAAAGGAAAGCAGGAACAGGGAATTAAAACCAAGTTAAAATAGCACTGAAATAAAACCAGCATCAGTAGTGCCAAAGATCTTGGGGGGGAAAAAAAACCCACACAAAACAGGAAAATGGGGTTTTCAGTAAATGAAACATCTGGAAAAGTAAGGGTAGGCATTCCACAGTCTTTCTGGGGTGGGGTGGGGCCATTCAGTGGATGCCAACACTGAAAATAAAAGCCATTTCACCCCATTTGGTGGGGACGACAAGAGAAGGGTATCTGACATCAGGCTTGGGGAATGTGTACGCAGATGACAATCCTTCAGACAACCTCCCACCCAGCCACTTAGGGTTTTATAAGTTTATTCCAAAACGCTAAATTAACTAACTGAAAGATAGCGCAGACCAGACAACAAAGGCAATAATACGATCATTTCACTTTCAGATCACCTACTAATTATTCTTCTATGTAAAGAAAACCAAATTTTTGTTAAACTCTATTTATAATAAAGGACACCCTCCTGTTGTCTATATCAATAGGGTACCCATTTAAAGCTTACCCATTACAAAAGGGCAGAATTTTTATTTTCTTATCTGCATTTCATTGTGCTATCCATTAGATGGTTAAGAAGAGTAATTAAGACCCAGGCTTCATGTTACAGATTGCAGTCAGTGGCATTCTATAACTTTGAAGCAAGGCTCCCACTAAGCTGGGCACACATGCCCACACACGACTCTTGCTTCCCTCCACACAGCTGTCTTCCTCCTCTGTGCAGCAACTGCGTTAGGCTCTGGTCGTGACGGAACACAGCACGTGCCAGGTGGGTGGGTGGGTAGGCAGAGTCACGCGCACACGCAGGGGCAAAGCCATGAGAGAGATGGAGCCCCGCCCATTGGGGCTGAAAATTAGAGAGTACATTGCTCTGAATGGTGCTAGACCAATAATTTCTGAAAAATTGCAGAAGTAATGTATTTACCACAAAGAAAATAAATGGGAATTTACATACTTGAAGACTCTATTCTTGTCATATTCAGTAGGCTTTATCAGGATAGGCAGTTTCTCCTTGTTTTCTTTTAAGATTGCCTAAAACACACAGAGAGAAACAAAAAACAATCCATATAACTACTAAAATTTGTAAATTAATACTTTTTAAGAGCACAATAACAAGGGGTAGGACTAATTATAGCCCTTTAGAAGTGATTATACCTCCTCTGAGGGGTGACCGTTTCTTCCTTAGCAGTATACTGGGGAGGGGAGGCAGAATGTAGAGAACGGTGGCCATGTCTACTTCCGGCTCCGCTCTCATCCACTGGTGCTTCAGCCCCCATGTACTGCTATCAACCAAGTATCCCCAAGGGAATGCCGTTTTTGACAGGAAAAAAGATTGGCCACCCCTTGCTCTACTAGAAGCTGGTAAGAAAAGCATGATAGCTTGATCATATGTGTGCTTAATCCTCCTAAATTCAGCAGTGCTTGCTGCCATGAAACCAGAATTGTGCGGAAAAGTTGTATCTCGGACTACAACTTCCCTAATTTCCCAAAAACAATGGAAACTGGCCTAAAGAAGCAGTAGTATTAAAGAATACCTTCAGCTGCCTGGCAACACCCCCTCAAGCACCTTCATGAAAAACATAATGCTAATGGGGGAGGAGGAAGACAAAGCCCACTGCAAGGCTCCTATCTCTTAATCATAGCTAAAAGTCACTAGAATCGCATGTGAACTGAATCACAGCTACCTGTGTTTGAGAGTTTTGGGAAGTCTGTCAAATAAAGGAGGAATCTTTGCAAAAAATAAGGTGAACTCTTCTTTGCAATAAAACAATCAGGTGAAAGATAGAAATTGTACCTGGTAGTGATCGTCAGATGGCTCGCTGGTGTAGTAGCTGGTATCTGGAGCCTCACTAGGTAGCCATGGTAACAGTCGACACTTTCTGATTAAACGGTCTGTTTCCCCATAAGCAAAGTCACGGGTCACCTCATCTGTAAGAAAAGGAAAACTTTACACAAGTATTTCTGCATTAAGAGGCATATATTCACAGATGAAGAGCTACTGAATTCACAATAGATAAGCACGTTTTAATGACCTGAATACAGGTAAGTATCTATGGTTTACCTATTTTAACATCTGAACCTGACACTCTAGTTCGTCTCTCACTTCTTACCCTCTCCTGTTCCAAGAATAAAGCTGAGTCACAGATACACTTACCGCCAGTCTCAAGGTCTCTTAAGGGCCAGAGAACAGTATAAGCAATTTGCTGTGGCATATAAAATAGAGGAGCAGTTGCAAAAGTGGGTTCGTCTGAATGTTGAATTCTGGATCCAAATTCATCCATAATGTACCACACAGGAACTTTCTCCTCTGCAGTCTGCACAAGAGAATCAAACAGAGTAATGTCTCCCTGGAAGGACAGAATGATGGGTGCTGCCTGGAATCACCCACTCATTTCCAATCAAGGAAATTCCTTACCAAATGAATCCCCCCACCATGTGGTATAGTTATGACTGATGAGCAATTTTCAAAGCAGTTCTGTTTAATTTATCACTTGCTCAAAGCCAAACATCCCCAGCAGATACCATTAGGCTTCTATTGTGGGAATAACACATCACCTTTGTATCTGTTTTGTCGCTGGAAAAAGACATCACATGGCAAAGAGGCGCAAGGCTACACCTCCCCTCATTTCTCCCCTCTCCCTCAAAATTACCCTACTAAAGTTTCCTGAAACTTCACTTTCTAGTGAATCTGTGCAGTGACTTTCCTTCATCCATTGTCAGGCATGTACTTGCCATCATCGGTTTTGGAGAGAAATCCATTATGCAATGGAAATGCTTAAAACTATTTTCCCTCCTCATCAGGAGACCCTCTTAACAGCATTTGATACAACTGGCCAGGGTATCCTTCTGGATAGGCTGTCTTGCACAGGAACAGGTAGTATGATGATGCAATGAATCCCTTCTGACAGCCAGTATTCCATGGCTGATTTATGCCCGCATAAGGAAAATTACATTGCCGGGCACGCACCTGGTTGTGTGAGTGACCAGGAATGCAACCACCACCTCATTAATGAGCAGTAATATGCAGCCAAAACCTATAAGACTTCCCTTAGGGAAGCACAAATCAGCAAACAGATTCTGGCCACTACTGTGTACAAAATGTCCATGATACAGTAATTTCCCAACTCTCTCTAAACAACAACAATCTTTCTGCTTTTGAACTCAACATTTAAATGTTTTCAATATATTTCAACAAATATTTGTAATATAGAGACCAGAATCCAATTACTGATACTGGCTGGTATAAATTCCGTTGATATTAAATCTCAGCAACAAATTACAACTAGTTAAGTTGGTGCTTCTATCTATAACCACACACCAATCATGTTACATGGTGCACAACAAGAAATGCAAGCTTTTGGAGACAACTGGAGACCACCACTGGACTTAACACCAGTAGGCATAAATAATAGGATTCTGGCCTATATAATTATAAATGCATACATACATATATACCTCATACATATACACCTTAATATGCTCTTTACTGGCCAACTCTTTTTTCAGAAGGTAAAATGTCACTGCTCTAAGAACAGGCATCCTCCACTTTAATTCCTCTTTCCTCACTTATTTTTAGCATATTCTTCCCAAGCTATACAACTGAGCTACTGATATACAACAGAATACGTAGAACTAAAACTACGGATACTGAAAGGTGATTTCCATTAAGACCTCTCTATATGAGGTTAAGCAGCACTACCCTGCAGATCCAAAGTGCTTTTAAAAGATGATTATTCGCTAGATACCAATAACATTTCTAGTGCTCTGATTAGGCTCATACCCCACAAGACAGCTGATAGGTCTGGTTGTATTTCCACATCTCCTCCAGCACTTGGTCAACAGCTCCCTCATCTGGCAATTCCCCATGGAAGTTTACTCCCATCAAGTTGGCCATTCTATGAAGCAGACCAGGGACCTGCAGAAGCTGCTGACGAGCATGTCCCACACGGTAAGTCCAGGCATGATCAATCAGGAAAATGCTTTGAAGATAAGATATGGTGTGTAAGAATGGAATGCACAACACTGGTTTTTAAGAAAATGTTCAGAAGGTAGTCTCAAAGTCACCACTATTAGCATGGAGTTCTAGATTTCTACCATGGGAATGTCTCGCATGCTTAATCACACAGCACCCCCTCCCTCACTGACTCTGCATCTACTCGCAGATTCCGACAAGAATCATGTTCTTATATTCAAAACACTAGATCCTTGCCCCCAACCACAATATCTCTGCAGGAACCTCTAGACACGTTCTTGCTTCTGCTGTTCATTCTCCCAGCCTCAAAATCCCCAGTCATTCTAGTCTCCTAATTCATCAAATGACTCCATCTCTTCTCCTTCACAGTCTTGATCCTGCCTCCTGAACACTAAAGTAATGGCACCTTATTGTCATGTCCTTCAAATCTCTCCTCAAAAAAAACACAAAAAAAAACAAAAAACAACAACAAAAAAACCCACTGATACTATGAATACTTGAAATAATTCTCTTGTGTTTATTTACAGATTGGGGGAAGGATCTCCCACCTCACCCTTTGTCAAATGCTGCACATAGAACACTGCGGTAAAGACACCGCAAAATTCGAAACTATTTTGAAGTAGCAACTCACCTATCTGAACTTGTTGCTTGAAGTCCATTTTCATTTGTGACTATCACTTTGTAGCACAGGTCATTCCACGGGTTCGGTTTCCTTTTCACTTCTTCTTCTATTTCTTCATCACCCACTTCCTCTGCCTCCTCGACCCGCATGATCCCAAAATACTCACCAGCATCAAACACCTGCAATAGTAACCAAGGAGAATGTCAGCTCAAGTAACATCAGAAACGAGAATCAAGCGTATGAAACTTGGATGTTTTAGGTTTTTATCAAGTAACTCTCAGGTTTATAGGTAGAGGAGCTATTATTGAAAAATGAAGCCCAAGGTTGGGCAGTACATTTATTTATTAGATCATAAAAAGTTTACAAACAAGGCAAGTTTTGGAATTCTATAGAAAAATGTGAAGATAAAACCTGCCACGAGAAGAGCCACATGACTGGACCTCAATGAGAATTTTGCTTTCTCTAACCCACTACTGTGACAACTAGTTTAGCTGCAACTGATATTTTAGTATATTTTAATATAAAAATATATTCTCCTGTTTTGCTGACATGAATACTAAGACCTTGTTTTTTTTCTGTTCCAAGCATACAAAAGTGTGTGTGTGGCTTTCACTCAAAGCCACTACAGAGAGGAAAGAACTGCCAGTTGACACCTTTTGCCATGTCTGCCTCAGGGAGAATCGGAGCTCCCATTTTGCTTTGCTGGCAGTCTGGCTTCATGAGCCAAGGGCCACAACATCTCACCCAATTTTTGAACCACTTGCCTTCATCTCAAATTTTATACCATATCCTGCCTGGTGAAGAGTTCTGGAGAGAACTCAAACATTTGGCTTATTTGCAACTTTTTAGTGTATCCAGTAAAGGTACTGCACAACCATGGGCTTTATTTCTGTAACTGGATCACACTGCCATTTTTTTGTACTTTGGTGCTTTGAAAGAATACACAACTGATAAGCTTTAAGCAGTGCACAACTAACTAAGGGGAAGAAGAGTTTCGCTTCTTCTTCTCAGCTTTACTCATGCCACTTTAAAAGCCTTGAACAAAAAACACATTTTGCACTAATAATTTCCAGTAACTGCCTGATTGAATAACTGGTTCCAGATGTGGAAGAAAAAAAAGGCCACCTATATATTGTCCAAGGACACCACCTACTGAACAGTGAGAGCAACCCAGAGTCATCAGTGCAGTCTGGCAAAATAACCCTGATGGTTGTGAATTTTTTTTAAAAAAATATTAACATATAAAATCTAGAATCTACAGTGTTTTAGCATTTGTGATGAAAATGAGGAGAGGGGAGGAGAAGAAAATGTTGGTTCTCTCAAACAAAAATAGAAACATGACAACCTAGGTTAGGATTTTCAGTGCTCTGGAGGCTGAATTTCAACTCTCCTACTAATAACTAATATTCCCTTTCTCCATGCCATTCCTCTTCTTATATTTGACTATATATATTTAAAAAAAAAAACACAAGTACTTTGAAACTCTGGGTCCTGGCATGTAAAATTCATTCAAAATATATACCATCAAGTTGTGCAAATGCTGAACTGTCTCTCTTCACTTGCCACTGTGGAACAGGATTAGTTTTACTGCACCCTGCTTCCCCTGGCTTTACAATCCATTCCATCCCAAGGTTTATTTTTCTCCCTTCCTTCACCCCAATTCTTTATCTTCACACTGTTCTTCCTTACACCTCAGGTCTTCAGTCTGAGAGGGATACAATGAAACCTTTACCTCCCACCTCCAGCTTATTCTCTCTCCTTTGGCTTTCTTCCTTCTCCCTGTCCCTGACAACTCTCTTCTGTATAGCCATATCAACCTGCTCAACAATTGTTCATTACACAATTCACATGGTAGGTCATGAAGCAGTTGACCAGAATTCTGTGAGCATTAAATTCCATTCAGAAACACTCCTTCTGAAGCTGCTTTGAAAGCAGGAAGCAGACGGTTGTCTTATTTTAGATACTTTGCAAATAACAATATGGATCTTTTCCAAAATGAGATCTATTCCTTACAATTCAATAAACCAAAGGGAAATTTAAACAAAGATTAGGGATGCAGACAGATCAACAGGGAAATGTATTATTTGATCAGGATAAAATAAAGAGAAGATGGAAACAATGTACTGAAGAACTATACAGAAGAGATCCAAGAATGATGGGTTCCTTTGAATGATGAAGCTGCAGTTTCATAAAGTGAAGATATAGTTGCTCTAAAAGCTACTGAAAACAATAAATAAAATAAAAAGGACTAGATAGTATAAAAATACAGTAGTGCCCCGCATAGCGACGATAATCCGTTCCGGATAAATCATCGCTATCCAGAAACATCGCTATGCGAAATAAAAAAGCCCATAAGAATGCATTAAAACGCGTTTAATGCATTCCTATGGGATTAAAAACTCACCTTATGCGAAAATCCCCCATAGGGGTGGCCATTTTCGGTGCCTCTAAAGCAAGGCAACACAGCAGGCAGACATTTTGGAACCGCCGCTCAGCTGTGCGAAAATGGGGCCTTTGGGAGGACCATGGGGGAGGGCTACCCCGCGGTCCTCCCAAAGCCCCCGCCGGCATTTTTGCCCAGCTGGCCGGCGGGAGCCTGGGAAGGACCAAGCCCCCGTCGGTCAGCTGGGGGAAAATGGGGCGTATGGGGAAAAATCGCAAAGCAAACATCGCAATGCATTTGCAAAAGCGATTGCAAAATCCACATCGCTATGCGGATTCATAGTTAAACGGGGCGCCCGTTAAGCGAGGCACCACTGTAGAGCTACAAAACCATGACCCATGAACTAAAAAAGTTAAATATGTATATTCCAAGAGTGCAGCAATTATACGGTTGATGAATTAATACAAGCAAAGTTGTGCACAAAATTTCACATTAAAGACTACCAGCATTTATAGAGTGAAAATGCCAGATGTTCACACTGGGCTAGGAAAACAAAAAGGCACTATAGGTGCAAATACAGTGGCGTCTCGACTTACGGAGAACTCCACTTACGTACTTTTTCACCTGTGTACTTCTCCGGCTATAAAGTTTCACTTTGACTTGCGGCCGGAGAATCGACCTACGGACCAGAACGGGTAGGCAGGGAAAGCACCAAATTCAAATCTGGCGCTTTCCCCGCCTCCCCTTTCCAGTCCATATGCCGCAGGTCATGCCTCTGGATGCCTTCCAGGGCTTCTCTGTCACCATGGGAAGCAGCTCTGAGTCCCCCCCCCACCGCCAATAGTGCTTCAGGGAAGGCATCCAGAAGTACACTGCCACTGCCTCGAGCTGAGCCGCGCCGGGTGATCCCAGCCATGCTCGGACTCCTGGACTTCCTGTGCTCTTATGGGTCTTGCATTGTTTTAAAATGTCTGTGCCTGTGCCTAAAATGTGGATCCAGAGTCTCTTTGTGCTGGAGGAATGGTTGCTGAGTTCTGTGCCATGCTGTGGCGGGGGGGGTTACCACCCCCTCGACTGAAGAACCAAAAATAGCTGAAACGGATTAATTGGTTTTCAGTGCATTCCTATGGGAAATGCTGATTTGACTTACAAACTTTTCGACTTACAAACTTCCTTCTGGAACAGATTAAGTTTGTAAGTCAAGGGTTGACTGTAGTCAAAAATAGTCTAATTATCGTAACATTTTAATTTGGCCTGTATTTCATATACTGTATGTCCATAATTTTAAATTGTGCAACACTACGATATGAATAAGGAAACAAGTAATAAATAAAGGAAATAATACAGTAATAAGGAAAACTGCAAGCACAACTACTTAGGAATTAGGTGCAAATACATTTCACAAGGCAGCTAAGATGCACTGAAGGACCTGTTTTTGTTCCAGTAACAGAATAGGCTGCTTCTAATATCATCCAAACAAGCTGGAAATACTCAGACTATAGTCTGCTTTGAGATTACTACTCTTGAGGAACAGGGTATCTCCCACCAACAGTGACTCAACCAGTGGTATCTGAGTTTTCAACATATTAAAATTAGTCAGTCTGCTTTAAAAATGAAATAACCCTCCAAATGCACTCCTTCAAAATTGTCTGACCATGCAACTAAGGCAGAGAGAGACAGGCACATGTATCTGTACGAACATAACATTATTATAGATTTCTATCTGAAATACAATAAAAAGTGATATAACGGAGAAAATCAACAATCTAAATGGTACTGAATGAATTAGACCCTAAGCCAATTAAGCCAAGAATAGGAGAAGATAACAAGATAACTGAGTCCAAGAAATGTTTTTCTCTGGCCGCCAATGGATTCATATTACTTGTGTAAATGTGTAAATAACCGGTGACTTTACTCTGCATGTCTGAAGACACAGACTGAAATCCATGAAACCTCACACTGAATTAACCCTGTTACTCTTAAAGGCATCCTATCACTTCTGCAGTTTTTATTGCTATACATTTGCTGGAACAGACTAACACACCTACTCTCTCCAATAACTGCATTTTAGCAAAGTCATAACCTGAACATATGATCTGTGCCACACCGACGTAAGAGCACTAAGACAGCCTTCTAATGACAATGGCAACCCTGAATAAACCAGCAGCTGCTCCTGAACAAACAAGCACCAGCAACAAATCAGTTCATTGGAAGAAGACAGAGATTTATAATTCACAGCCTGAGGTAGGTATCCAAGAACAAGGATAGTGAGTTACATAAAATTGCATCTGCTGATTTAGAGCAGTGGTTCTTAACCTTTTTTTACTCAGCTGATGGTGAAGGCTTCTGGGAGTTGTAGTCCAAAAACATCTGAGTAGCAAAGGTTAAGAACCAGTGATTTAGAGGAACAGGTGCAAAATTTGAGCCTGTATTTCGGCTGGCTAGAAGTTCAGCAAATGTATCTGGCTGCAGAACTAGATGTCAGGAGTTTGATTCCCCATTTTGCCTCCTGGGAGAGAAGCCAGACTGTGTAGCCAAAAGTGCCCACAGGAGAAGGGAACGATAAACCACTTCGGAGTACTCGATACCTAGGAAATCTTGAAAGGATCGTCATAAAGTGACATCGACTTGATGGCACATGGTGGTGGTGGTTGCTGCTGCTTAAACAGAATTACAGGAGATCTCATTCAGCTGAGAAATGCTTTACTCCTGGTGCCTAGTGCATGTGCAGTTCGGGTGTTTGCTGTGGATGGGCAACATCATAGTCCCAAATCACCCTCCTTTACGGGGTAATTT